TGGGGGCCATCAGGGCTGCCTGCAGCAGTGCTCAGGGGATCATGTGGTACCACAGACCAAACTGGGGTTGGGCACAGGTGCTTCCAACCCTCCAAACTATCTCCCAAACCTCTAGTTAGCAATTTTTGTTTGTCGAGTTTGGGGGCAGGGGCCACACCTGAATGCGTTCAGGGTTTACTTCTGATTCTGAACTCAGGGATCACTCCTGGAGGGGCTCAGGAAACCATCTTGGGTGCTGGGGCTCAAACCTGGGTCGGCTGCATGCAAGGCAAATGCCTTACTTACTGACCTACCTCTCGACCCCCCACGAATGATCATATTTAAAAGAGGCCAGAGCTACAGTACATTTTACCATTTTATACCAGGCCTAAATATTTATAGCACAGAGTTCTCAGTTCCCTAATCCTAGAGTAAAGTCAGTGTGCATAAAAAAGATAGAGCAAGCGCCATCCTTTGAGTGCAGGAGCATCACGTGATCCATTCCCCAGCATTACATTATCCACAGAGAACCGGCAGAAGCCTAGAATATCCCAGTATGGTCCAAAATAAATAAGTAAAAAGATGAAACATTTACAATGAAAAGGAAGTACATAATAAAAGAAAGCTTTACCCAAGAAACTAGAAAGGCTAAACAAATTTGGCAATTACATAGTTTTAAAAAATATATAAGATGCTTCTAGTGAAAGTGAATAACCAGCACTTTAAACCCCAGGTAACAAGCTATAAATTCAAAGGCTCTTCTACATATTGAACTATGAATACTTGAACTACACAATAAGGCTGTTAACTGATTAAATCGCTTATTTATTTGCTTTTTGTCTGATATAAGGAGCACAATGTGGTAATTAGCATAGGAAAGCAATCCGAGAAAAATCAAAACCATAAAGTGAAGGATGGGTGTGGTGGCCTTCTTTAAAATGACAAGGAAGGGACTGCAGCGAGTAGTACAGCGGGTAGGCATTTGTGTTGCCTGTGGCTGACCTGGATTCAATCCTTGGCATTCCATATAGTTCCCCGAGAACCGCCAGGAGAAATTTCTGAGTGCAGAGCCAGGAGTCAGCCCTGAGCATCGCTGGGTGTGACTCAAAAAGAAAAAGAAAAAAAAAAGCAAGAAAATCTACTAGGCCAATTTTACAGCTATCAGGACGAAAAGAAAATTCTAAATACAGAATTCAAGTACTACTTTTAAAAAAACATTCAAAAAAGTTTTTCATTAGAGCCCATTAATATTCACCATAAATCACAATCTGCTTTGTTGTCATCAAAGACAAATGACCAATTCTTTCAGTATGCACAAAAGAAAATATAGAAAAATTCATAGCTTCCCTAAAAAAAATTTTAGGGAAGGCCGAGCTATGCAGGTCAAATAATTAGAGCAAGTAAGAGAACTCTTAGGAAACTGGAAAGACAATACAAGTGTTAAGATGCTTGCCTTACACCCCAGTTCAAATCCCTGGCACCAGTAATGGTTCCCTGAGTCAGGGATTACTCCTGAGCACAGAGCCTGGAGTAGCCCCTCGGCAATGCTAGGTGAGGCCCCAAAGACCTTCCCCCCCTAAAAGAAAGCTCTCAGAAACAGGATATACATGTAGTGCCATTATCTTGTTTATCTAGTACACAGAACTCTCAAAACTGAAGTCAGCCAAATGATTTCCATACAGAACCTATGGCCACTTAGAACGAACATATACCCCTAGGCACATGATAGAAGCAGCCCCTTAAATCAAGGCCTCCTTGATTTAAGATAGGTTAGCCAGATAAGGCAGTTTCGTATTCCAAAAGTTTTATTTGTAAATTTTTTTAAATTCTCAATGCATTATATAAACAAGAGAGACATGTCGATTTTATTTTCTGAAAAGGCCAAACCAGTTGACGTTTCCACTAGCAGTGAACTAGGTCGAGGGAAATGGGACACTAATGAAGAGACTGACATTGTTAGAATATTGCACACACAACTCAGTCATAAATAATTCTTTAAGTTTGTAATTCATGGTGATCCCAAAAGATTTTTTTACTTTTAAAAAAATTACTTGGTTACCAGGAAAGTGGATTTATGGTATAAAGTTCATGCAGGACACCTGTATTTGATTCCCAGGACCACGGGGTCCCCCCAGTACCACCAGGTATGGTCACTACACCCACCAACCGCCTCATAAAAAAATGAAAGAAAGAAAAGAAACACTTGGTTCATGGTTAGAAATAAGCATCCTCTCTCACAGTGATTCTACTTTAAAAAAAGAAAGAAAGATCCCCTCTACAGCCCCGCCAGGGATGAGACAGAGGACGGCCTTGCTCCACTCTGGATCTTTAGCGTCTCCTCAGACTGAGACTGGCTTATGTACGGTGCTTACTGTCTGCCGAATGGCTGAAATGCCAGCCACGAGGCTACCAAAGAGCAGTACAGGCAGCCAGAAAGGGTGAAATGGCCAGTCCAGCCGGAGAACAGAGGACGTGGAGAGGCAGAAGATGAGCTTTTGCATATCAAATTCCTTATTAACTCTTCTATCACTGAATTTCATTTTTTATTATTAATTTGGGGATATTTGGGGCTACATCTAGAGGGCCACAGGGCTCACTCCCTGCTCAGTGCTCAGGAGTTACTTGGGCAGCATTGGGGGACCACTGAGGTGCTGGGAATTGAACTGGTGTCAGCCACAAGCAAGGAAAGGACTTAACTCCTATATACTATTTCTCTGGTCCCATCATTTAATTTTTTAAATTATAGTAGGTCAGGTAAAATTCTGCAGTCACCACTTAACTGTCCCCTAAAACTTAATCTATAGATTTCATTAAAACATGAATTGTGTGCCAGGATGGAGTTCAGTGACAGAACACATGTCTTGCGTATGCAAGATCCTAACACCATCAAGAAAAGGAAGAAAAAAAGAGCAAAAGTTATAAAAGTACAAAAGTTCCCTGCCACAAGATGTATAAAATGGCTATATATTGGTAATCATTTTTTAGTTATCCCGCTTTTATGTAAACTAACATTGAAGTCAACAAATGAGAACTATATACATTTATCTCTGAAAGATGCAGGGAAAGTTACTACTTTCATTTTATATGTTCTTGTATAGTTCAAAAGTTTGTAGATGCAAGGCAGCCTAAATTAAAAAGAAAGCTATAAAAATTATTAAATTGCTTTTGAAAAGCACAAATCCCTTTGTTTGAGTCCATTGAGAGAGGGGGCGTGAGGGGGACATACCACCCAGCTGTGCCTAGGACTTACTCCTGGCTCTGAACTCAGGGATCACTCCTGGTAGAGCTCAAGACCTGGGGGACCATATATGGTGCCAGGGATAAGACGCAGACTAGCTGTGTGCAAGGCAAGAAACCCACCCACTATGTTATCTCTCTGACACCATCCATATTTATTTTTACAGTTTCTTAATAACCGCGTTGCTGAGTATTTCCTTCCTTCCTTTTCTTTCTTTTCTTGTTTTTGGGTCACAACCAACACTGCTCAGGGCTTACTCCTGGATCTGTGGTCAGAAGTGAGCCCTGGCATTACTTAGGAGAACATATGCTGTGCTGAGGATTGAACTGGGTCAGCTGCATGCAAGGCAAACACCTTAACTTCTGCACTATCTCTTGGCCGGCCAAGTGATAAGTAGCTCAGCATCTTGCAAGTTCTGGGACACCCCAAATCAGGGATTCTGAAACTTTGCCACTTGCAACTCCTTTTCAGTAGAAAGATATTTATGTGGCCTAGGGTATATAGATATATAAGCAGGAATATAAATCAAACATTTATGATAGCAAATCATGAAGAAACCTAAAAAGATCCCCACAGTCAGTCATCCTATAGTGTTCAGCAATACAGTTCAGGCAGCATTGCGCTAGAGAGAGAACTCAATGTCAGAGTGCAGGCTTTGCCTGCAGAAGACCCAGGTATTATTCTTGGCACCACATATTCCTAGGAGCAGCGCCTATGACCCACTAACATTTGGTTTTGGGTGTGGCTCCAAAACCAAAAGCAGAAAGATGTCAGGCCCTATTCCACCTTGTTTCATCAAGTCAATTCCTGACAGGACAAAGATAAGAAGAAAGGTTATAAAACATATATTCTCTACAATGCAATCTGTAAAGCAAATAATCAAAACAAAATGCCCTCTATGCATAATGCAGCTGCCCTGGAGAACAGACATAGCAAACAATTTCAGTACGGAAAAGTAGACATTCATTGACTTTGCTACCTAACATAGTTCTTCCTCATTCTAGCTTCATTGGGAGGAAACGGGGCAGGGACTGGGGTGAAGGAAAGAGCACCTCAGCTTCCCAGGGGCAGCATATGACTGTGAGTGGTGAAGATTTAAGAAATGACTGAAGGTGACCAGCTAAAATCCTTCAAATCCTAGAAAGAACTATTATTTCCCATAGACTTGTAGTTCCGATAGTGGGATTCTGAAATTGCTTCAACCATACTAGACCACAAAGGGCGAACCAATCTAAAATGAAACCAACCCAGAACTGGAACTTAGATATAAAAATGGCATATCTGGGTCTTAAGGACATTGTGTAAGTGCCCACCTCAAATTCCACGTAAATAGACTTGCTTCTTTCTTAAACCATTTTGCGTTTCTCCTTCCCAGTTTCATCTCAAATATATATGGTAAAAGCCAAATACAGTAATAAGAAGTGTGAATCAACTTTTCAATACATCTATTATCATGCACTAATCAATTAGAGATTACAGATTTTAAAAATGCACTTTAAGAAAGTCACTTTCTTTCCTCTTTTTTTTTAAGAAAGTCACTTTCAACATTATGTTGCACTCACTTGTTTCAAAAAAATAAAATCAGTATTTTACCGGACAGAAAGCAGAAAACTGAATATAACTTTACTATAGTCATGCAGATTAGTATAGCTTGTAGCATTGTAAGAGAATAACTTCAGGAATTTTAAATTCTCACACATCGCATCACAATTATTTAATAAGATAACGATAACGGAAAACAAAAACCTAATGGACTACCCATAAATGATGTAAAAACGCTTACTTGAAGCTGAAGAGTATGTCGAAGAATTGTTTCCTCTAAGGCATGGATCCACTTCTCTCGTTCATCAGCATCACGAGCTGGAAAAGAGAATCACAAAAATTAAAGCCTCGATATCTGCAAAAGAGTGACTGCATTTAATGTCACTGTTAGATTCTTGGAAATTACAACTTTAAGCAAAACAACATGTAATGAAAGCAGGTCCATTTAAAAATAACATTGTTTCCTTTAACAGAGGCCAGAATTTTTTTTTGTCTCATTAAGGCCTTAACCAATTGACACTGAACAAAAAACAATGTTATTTGAGGACCTGCTAGGTTTCCAGCCATATATCTCCATTTTCAAAAGAAAACATTTAAAAACACAACACACTCTTCGAAAAGATTTCAGTTGTGCCACTTCCTTAAGAGGTGTTTTTTCTTTTTGTTTGTTTGTTTTGGGGCCATATGCAGCATTGCACAGGGCTTACTCCTGGCTCTTCACTCAGGACTCACTCCTGGTGGGGCTTGGGAGACCAAATGTTGTGTCAGGGATTGAACTGGGGTCAGGTTCAGTAGCTCCCTACCAGTTGTATGATTTCCCTGACCTCAATAGGTTTATCTTTTGATTCTATCCAAATTTATGATCTACTAGTAGTTGTTTTTATTAAAGGGAGTAATTTTATTCAACAATAGCTGTTCACAAATTTTAAATCAACTTTGCCACTGAGAAATACTTTAAAAGCTGTAATGATTATTCAAAATAAACAACTGGCTGAATCTATTAGAAAACAACAGGCTGGTAAAGACAAACTAGGTCAAGCATTAGAAAGTAAACATCTAAATTAGCCTGTTATTTCAGAGCCACTTTTCTACTGGGAGTATTGTAAATAATAGTTGATTGGGCACTGTACTTTAAAAAGCCTTGTTCGTGAGTGTGTGCAGAGGAGGTAATGGCAAGTCGTTCTGCTTGATTTTTGTGTGAATACAAAGCTGTTCTTTAAAAAAATTTACTTTTACAAAAAGATTCTGTCAGGCCAAAAGTTGGATAGCAGGAGAAGCTCATGACAGAGGCTCTGGTAAGTAGGAAATGTTCTGATTGGGACTTCAAAGCGCTGTCTTTGGGGATGAAGAGTGAAATAAAACAGTTGCTAATCATCTGGGTAACTCAGAAAGATCTGGATGTCTGAAATGGATTAAAACAACACGAGGTTGTTAATGACTCCAGGCACTGTGCCGGCAAAAACAAATGAAAAGCTTTTCTGTAAGAAGATGTTATCATTTTAGCTGGCTTATTTTTATAAACGTGTAAAAAATAATGACTAGCATATTAGTGAAGATGAAAAGTATACTAGGGCACAAAATGCATAATAGTGAGAATTTTAAAAAGAACAAAACAGAAACATCAATGGAAACAGTTTAATAAAGCATGGATATTTGAACAAACCATCCCATACTTTACAAGTAACTATGCTGTGTGTGTGTGTGTGTGTGTGTGTGTGTGTGTGTGTGTGTGTGTGTGTGTGTTGGGGGAGAGGATAAGACATGTTTGGATCCCTAAGAACTGAGAGAACTGATGGGTGCAGTCCCTCTGGCCTGAGCACAGCTTAGGGAGGTCCCAATGGGGGTGGGGGTTGGGGCTGTAACCATGCTAATACAGTCCAAAAAAAGAGGGAAAACTTTGGCCTTCTCAGAACTCACTGTATATACATTTTTTTCATAATTGCATACAAGTTCTACAATTCAAAAACAACAGAAAAACTGAGAACTCAACAAAAGTGTTTAAAAGATTTAGCGGGTCAGGGATGTGATTCACTTTGGTAAAGCTACCCTAAGTATGTGTGAGGAGAGAACCCTGCACACCCACAACCACCCTCCACAGAAAGAAGGCACCGAAGAAACTTCCCTGAACAAAAGACAACAGTTAAAGGAACAGAATATATCAACGAAAGGGCATGCAACATGAAAGGTGAAAAGATTAACGTATATATGATTAAACTACCAGAAGGGGACAAAAGACTGAATAAAATAGAATAAATATCAGGCTGAGAATGTGAGTTTTTCCCCCCCTCTCTATATAACCGTTTATTTACTAATGAAATAGATTTCTAAGCAGTACCTACTCTCAAACATAAATTTAAGGTTCTCCTTTAAACATTAGTAAGTATTGGATGAAAAACAGTTGCTATATAATAAAGTAAACATCTTTAAACATCAAGTAAGACCAAGACTATATTAACTTATTCTTGTACAAAACAATTACCATGCAAAATTTTATAATAATTGCCTTAATGAATTGCTCTTGACTTCAACTATGTAGTTTACTAATTCTGATTTGGTTAAAATTATAAAATGAATGTGCTGTAAATTTAAGGGATGTTTTCCCAAAATTGTAGTTTAAAAATAAGAGCTGTGACTTTTATAAATTTATAAATTTAACAAATTTTATACTCATATAGAATTTTTCTACCACGCTAATATTTACAAATTAGAGGAAAAATTTAGAATTCAACTGATGTTGAAGTGCCTTTCAGTTTCCGAGGAATTTTAAATTTTCCACTGTAGCACTGCACTGTCCTCCCGTTGTTCATCGATTTGCTCGAGCGGGCCCAGTAACATCTCCATTGGAGATTTTGTTGTTACTGTGTTTGGCATATCGAATACGTCACGGGGAGCTTGCCAGGCTTTGCCGTCTGGGGGAGATACTCTCGGTAGCTTGCCGGGCTCTCCAAGAGGGGCGGAGGAATTTAACTCGGGTTAGTCGTGTCGGCCGCGTGCAAGGCAAACGCCCTACCGCTTTGCTATTGCTCCAGCCCACAGATCAAGAAAAAAAAATGTGGGGGAAGGGGGGCAGAGCGAGAGTGATAGTACAGTGCACAGGTGTTTGCCTTGCATGAGGCCAACATATGTTCAATTCCTGGCACCATATATGATACCCCAAGCCCACTAGAAGTGATACCTGGGCACAGAGCCACTGAGCACTGTTGGGGGTGGTCCCCAAACAAAACCTCTTTTAACTCTATTTTTCCTGTATCTCTTGAGTAACTAATTTTTGTTGGTGATGTTCTTTTGACCACACCCAGCAGTGCTCAGGAGTCAACACCTTGCTCTGTGCTCAGGGTTGTGCCTCGTGTTGCTTGAGAAACTGAACATGGTGCCAGGATTCAAAGCAGTGCTGCAGCAGCAGCCATGTTAGGCAAGTGCCTTAATCTCTCTTGGCACTGAGTAATCGCTGTTCAAAAAAGGATTCTGTGGATGGATTCTGTGGCTGAAGAGAGTGTCCAGGGCTTAAGGCAATAGCCTTGTACTCAGTCTGTTCCAATCTCCAGGAGCACATATGGTCTCCCGAGTTCTCCCAGGAGTGATCCCTGAGCATAACTGGGAGTGTCCCCCAAAACGATTATTTAAAAAAAAAATTTAAAGCATTGTACAAGCTTGAGAAATTTGAGATTTGATTCTAAGAACTTTAAATGACTGCTAGCTTTCTATATCAAACACTACAACTTTGTTAGTTAAGTGAGCTACATAATACCCTTGAATATCAACTAGAGAACCAAAATTTATTCTCTTAAATGTGTAGTTTAACCTATTACATATATCTTTAATAAGATATTCCTTCTTAGAAAATGTTCTTATTCTTTTATTCCTGGAATTATATTTTATAAACCTCAATCAGTGTGGACAATTTTTAACTGAATATTATAGAAAATTAGCTAAAATTAAATTACTTCTGGTTCATGATGCACACAGAATACTTCAAAGCTTTTAAATGGAATTTGCTTTGACCAAAAAAATTGAAATTAATGGGAAGGCAGAGACACAATCATTAGAGTTGAAGTCACAGATCACACATAGATACATGTTAACTTTTAAACCAAGCAGGGAGATCAGTGTTTAGGAGCACAACAATCTTGTAAGAATTTTTCTTAAGGTAAAAGACAATAAGCCAGTGATTTCAGAAGCCTCAAGAATTCCAAGTATGGCAAAAGAAATTTACAGATCTGCATAAACCATAAAAAGAAAAAAGTTGCTGCAAACCAAAGATACAGGAAATATCTGAAAAACAGCTCTATGGAAATGAAGGCAAAATAAGAAAAATTATTTTATCTATTTATTTAAATTTTGGACTTTTGGGTCCCATCCAACACTCCTGGTGGTGACAAAGGAACTTGCTGTTGGCTTTGCAAGAACCTTACTTACCCCTTGGAAAATCTCTCCAGCCCCAAGAACAGTAAAAAAGAATAATTAAATTGTGGTAAGCTCTCAAAAGAAACAATGGAAGCCAGAAGACTATGGAAGTACTGCACTGCAGAAAAATATCCTTCAGAGACTATGATGAAATAAAGTAACTTTTCAGACCTGACAAAACATAAATTTCTCAAAGTGGGAACATGTCAAAACAAACCAACAAAACATATGCATCAGTCTGAAAAAGCTCACTGGCCAAGGACCAAAGATCCTGAACAACAGAATAAATGATAGTATAATACAATATTATAATTCATAGAACATATATATCTGAGTTCAATACAAATATAAATGAATAAAGAATAAGGTACACATTTTCAGAAAAATTATAATAAAAATAGAGGGAATGAGAAAATTTTAAAAATCACTGTTCTGGAACACAGGGATATGATTCCATGATAGAGCATTAGACTTGCAATTCCCAGCATCACAAAACAAAAATATATTAAAATACCTACAAGAGACTTACCAGTCATGATCTAGAGACTCATAAAAATACCTACTAGACAAATACCAAAGCAATAATGGTTACCGGCAAGATCCATCAATGTCCTATTATTGACAGCTACAGTGAGAAAAAAGGGTTATATAGACAGGATAAAATCTCACAGTATCTCTGGATATTGTCTCATACGTCTCTTCCAAGATATTTAACAATTACAAAACAAAAACCCAGACAATGTCTTAATCTAGTGATCAAGGTTAGTATCTCCAAAAAGTATTGATATCATATATCCCTCTTCAAATTAAACCCCATTGAGAAGGAAACATCTGAGGTATTTTTAGCCAAAAACATATAATCTCAGTCTCTTCAAGGAAAAATATTAGATAAGCCCATATTGAGAGCTGTACTA